GCAATTCTCAATTTCACTGGCAGCAATTGTGGGGTTTGATTGGTTGAGAAGTAAGCCTGTGATTTGCCACTATTCTTATTGTTTACAAATGCTAGTCATTTTAAAATAAAACAAAACAGATTCCAGATTAGTCCACAATGGTATAACGCTCATTCAATTACATTCAAAAATGCTTTCTTGAGAGGGAGATAAAGAAATGGAAATGTAGCTAGCATACTGGGAATTGCACATAATCTATGAAAATATGTATGTAGTGCTTATAAACATAATACAGCAGTGCCCTGGACAGTGTCAGTTACCTGATTCTTCAATTTTTATCCTGTCATAACATCCACTGATGGTCTCAGTACCCCTCACAAATCGTACTTAATGGGTAAACAGGCAAACTATATTAAAGTGAACAGACTGGTCTCTGTATTACAGGCATATCTGGTTTTATTGTATTTCATGTTATTGTGCTTCACAGATAGGGCCTTTTTTCTGTAAATTGAAGGTTTGTGGCAACCCTGCATTGAGGAAGTGTATAGATACCATTTTTTCCAACAGTATCTGCTCATTTTGTGTCTCTGTGCTTTGGTAATTTTTGCAGCATTTCAAACTTTATTATTATTATATCTGTTATGGTGATCTGTGATCAGTAATCTTTGATGTTACTATCATAATTGTTTGGGGGTGTCATGAACCACACCCATATAAGATGGCAAACTTCATTAATAAATGTGGTGGTGTTCTGACTGCTCCATCGACTGCACATTTCCCTGTCTCTCTCCCTTTCCTCAGGCTTCCCTATTTCCTGAGACACACAATAGTGAAATTAGGCCAATTAGCAACCCTACAATGGCCCCTAAGTATTCAAATTAACCACTTCGGATTGGGCTAAAGGGCTTCGAAACCTTGCCCACAGCCGGCACTCATAGTTTGCATGATGGTTTGTGCTGTGCATTGACGACAAATCCGACAAATCCGTTTTGCTCTTGTGTGATGAGGAAAGCTTGAAAGCACTGAAAGCTTGTTTTACTTTACAGGCAGCTTTACTTGTAATGTAAATCAGAATAGGTAACATATACATATATGTTTTTATTACGTTATTTTTAAATGTTCACAATTTTATTTTGATAAATGAAAAATTAGAAAAGTCATATCACAGCTGTCGGCTAAAGTCGCTGTGCAAGTTCATCTGTGGCTATCAACTATAGATGATGCTGGTACCGAAGTGGTTTAAAGGAAGAGTCACTTGTCCCTCGCTTTAAATCAAAAGCTAGAAATGACTAAGCTTAGTGAGGAAGTCATGTAGAAAGCTAAGACAGGCATAAAGCTAGGCCTCTGATGCCAGTTAGCCAACTTGTGAATGAAGGAAAAGTTCTTAAAGAAAATCAAAAGGGCTACTCTAGTGATAAGATAAGAAGCAAAATAGCTTATTGTTGATGTAGAGAAAGTTTTTATGATCTAGATAGATGATCAAACCAGCCACCGCATTCCCTTAAGCCAAAGCCTAATCCAGAACAAGGCCCCTAACACTTCAATTCTATAAAGTCTGAGAGGTAAGTACATCACAGAAGAAAAGCTGGAAGCCAGCACAAGTTGGTTCATGAAGTTTAAGAAAAGATCTCCATAACATAAAAGTGCAAGGTGAAGCACCAAGTACTGATGTAGAAGATATAGCAAGTTACCTAGAAGACTTAGCTAAGATAATTGATGAAGGTGATTACATTAAACAACAGATTTTCAATTTAGAAAGGATTATATTAGAAGAAGATGCCATTTAGAACTTTCATAGTTAGAGATGAGAAGTCAATGCCTGACTTCAAAGATTCAAAGGACAGGCTGACTCTCTTCTTAGGGGTTAACACAGCTGGTAATTTTAAGTGGAAGCCAATGCTCATTTCCCATTACAAAAATCCTAGGGTCCATAAGAATTATGCTAAAAAGAATGAAACTGGATCTATATCTGTCACCATATACAAAAATTAACTCAAGATGGATTAAAGACTTAAGTGTAAGACTTGAAACAATTATTAATATCTTAAGCTAGTGAACCTCATAAAATTCTTACCTGGCTCTATTAGCTCCCTCCCTCTAAGGACTTAGAGTGTTGTCAAATCCTGACTAATAAATTTAATAAAACAAATAATATTCATGTTGTTAAAACCTCTGTGTAAAATGTAAATAGGAGCATATTTCATAACCTAATAAAAATATCTATCTCAAATCAACAGCTAGACACTAGAGGCGTTCCTGTTAAAGTTGGGAATAAGACAAATAAGTTTATTATTGGTCAAGATAATAAAATAATAAATATTTCAAAGAAAGAGTAAAACTTATGGCTATATATTAATACAATAAGGTTATATAATTGTCTACCAAAAATTTGAATAAATAAGCTGAAAATAGACTATTAAGAAAGTTCAGTGAGGTAGTCAGTTAAAAATTTAACAACAAAAAATCAATATCTTCCCTATATAGGGAAGATATTTTCTTTCTTTTTCAAAGAAAAATGGGTTAAGAAAGCAAAAATCCCATTCATATAGAAGTCAATTGGTCATATAAAAAATGTTCATCCTTCCAATAATTAAAGAAATGCAAATTCACACAAAATACCATTTTTATTTTGAGATTGACATATATTAAATAGAATAAATTCATTGTTATTGAGTGGGTTGGGAACTAAATTGTGCCCAGAAATTCTACTTCTAAGATTTTATCCCAGGGAAGTTATAGGAAAAGTGAACAAAGATAGTTGCACAAAATTACAGTGTGGTTTATGATAGTGAAAAATTCAATACAACCTAAGTGCCATGAATGAGAACGTGATTTAATAAAAGTTGGAAAGTTCATGAATTGGAATTCTAGACAGACATTAAAAATACACATGTGGATCTATATTTAGTTGTATGAACAATATCCCCAATATATTCATGCCAGAACAGTTCAATGAGATAAAATGAAACAATGTGTATCTGTACATAGAAAAACTCTGATAGTATATACTCAAATTTCAATAACAGTTATTTCAGGGTAGGTTGTAGGTAATATCTTTCCAATTATTCATTTCTGTATTATCTGTATCTTTTGCAACAATCATTATAATCAGAAAAAGAAAAACAAGACAATTATGAAGGAGAGTATGAGAACAATGAGAAGAAAAGAGAGATATGGTGAAGAGGAGAAAACCATGTGCTGTAAGTGTTATTCTTGCTTCGGGTACTTTTTTCTCTTTGGAGGCTACATTTTAAAAACGTACTTCCCTTTCAATTTTCTCCTTTTCTCTTACTCCAACTGGAGAGGCTCTTAAATTATGGATATTTAAGCCAAAATTTTATAATTTAGGAAAAAGAAATACAATGAATCAATCCATTATGTTGAATTTTGCCTAAGGAGAAAATGCAGTTGAATGGGATTACCAGCCACACAACACACTTGTACTCAAGGCAGGCCAGAGTATATACATCATCTTGAACTGTGTGTTGTTCTATAAACTTTATCAAAACCTTTCCAAATGGGAAGGTTAAGAAGGACACAGAATCCTTTTATTTATTCTTTTAGATACCATAAGTCATACATTTTTTGCCTCTTACAGAATAGTTTTCATTCAGTTGAATTTTAGTGTTATGCTTTAAGCCAAAAGTGTAGACCTTTTTCATTCATTCGACAAATATTTGTTGAAACCTACATTGTGCCAGGCATGTTTCTCAATATTTGGGAAACTATCAGTGTCCAGCTTTCCTGGAAATTGTTTTCTATTCCACTAAGAAATAGCCATATAAAAGCAGCTATTGTTGAGGCTATCTGTTATATGATTCAGTATCCCATAGGGAAGTTCCTTTAAGACTTAAGAACTAGAAAAGTAGTTAAAGAATTCACATATACTTTACTCATGAACAAAGGAAAATTTATTTCTATTTTTTGTTTGCACTGCCATGAAGCTTAATCTATTTTTAGCCTAACTTGAATAACTGTGTAAGATATTGCATCCATCCAATTCCAATACTAACCTTTCCCCCCTTTTAGAACTCCTTATCTTCCTATTTTATCTATATTTTCATTGGCCTTGCTTTTTAAAAATTTAAATTGTTGTATGTTATTGCAGTCTAATGCATTTGTAAACTGCTTCAAATCTCAAATCCCTTGTGTTTCAACCTCAATAACAAACAGAGAGATAAAGTCTCTAAAAGAAAAGATAGTTTTGGGGGAATAGAGCATTGCCAGGGAATGCCATAGCAAACTATGTGTGTATTCAAGGAGGGAAAGGAAGACAAAGACCTTTAAAGGAAAAAATGGAAATTACATAATTATTTTGAAATAAATATCCTTGGCTACATAGATCAATAACAAGGGTGATGCCAGTTCAAGGTTGAACAGGTAGTTGCCGGGCAGATGTCCTTGCAGAAATATTTTTTGTGTGAGGTTGTAATGGCCTTTGTGCCAGGTTGTGGTTTTTGCAGTCTTTTTGATAGCTTTTGTTATCAGGCATACAAGCTTGAGAATCTTCTCTTCATGGCCTTCCCTGGCTTTATTTGTCAGGGTTGGGTTTGTTTGTTTTGTTTTTAACATTAGTGACTCCATTTTGATTCTGACAACTTTCACAGGAACTAGGGGAACTAGATAAACAACATCAGGAAGAAACAGACAAATCCAAAATGTGGTGCCTTCTTCAAGACAACTGACATGGTCTCTTCTAAAAGCCAAAATGAAGAAAACCTAAAAGGTGGAGGGAACTGTTCTAGTTTGAGAAATTAAAACAAACAAACAAAAAAACCAAACTCCATACCAACCGAATGTAGTGACTTCTGATTGGATCCTGGCTCAAAAGAAAATATCTGCTTATAAAAGAAAGATTGAGAATAACTGAGGCCTTTTTTTTGGTAAACAATGCCGTACTCTACATTTTGTTTTTTTAATTTTATCTTTTAATTGACAAATAATAATTGTACATATTATGTGGTACATAGTGATATTTCCATACATAACAATGTATAGTGATCAGATCCTGTTATTATTTTTGCCACCGTTACTATACCACTAGAAAGCTGTGATTACACCTACTCGGGAGCACCCTGAACTCTCGCGATACTACAGCCAGGAGGCGCGCGAAACGCGGTGGGAGGGGCTGGAAGGAAAGCGTTTGACTTCCGGCCAGGCCGTCGTCTGGGTGGCGCGGTCGAGTCATCGCTGGGCCTCGCCGCTTCGATCTCTCGTCCCTCCCCCCCGCCCAGGCGCGGGGGGTCGACCAGCCAAGTGAGGTGGGAGGCGACTCAGACCTTTCCCTCCACTTTGTTTTGTCCAGCACCCCGGCTACTCGCTTTGGGCCCCAGTCTGAGTGGCCGGGGCCTACATCGGCCCGCCGCTGGGCCTCATGAGGCATAGCCTGACCAAGCTGCTGGCAGCCTCAGGCAGCGACTCCCCAACGCGCAGCCAGAGCCCGGCGCCGGCCGCGACCTGCTCGCTGTCCGCGGACCTGATCCGGGCTGCGGCGGGGGAGAAGGAGGCGGTGGCGACGGGATCTCCTGGCCGCAAGCAGTCGCACGGCGACGTGGGCGAGTTGGAGGCCGGGACGGGGAGCCGCGGCGGTGTGGCCGTGCGCGCCCCCTCGCCCGAGGAGATGGAGGAGGAGGCGGTCGCCAGCGTCCCTGGGGAAGAGACCGAAGATATGGACTTTCTGTCTGGGCTGGAACTGGCGGATCTTTTGGACCCCCGGCAACCGGACTGGCACCTGGAGCCCGGACTTAGCTCTCCCGGGCCTCTCTCCTCGTCCGGCGGAGGCTCTGATAGCGGCGGCCTGTGGAGAGGGGACGACGACGACGAGGCCGCGGCTGCTGAGATGCAGCGCTTTTCCGACCTGCTGCAGAGGCTGTTAAACGGTATCGGAGGCTGCAGTAGCAGCAGTGACAATGGCAGCGGCGAAAAGAGGCGGAGAAAGTCCCCGGGAGGAGGCGGCGGCGGCGGCGGCGGCAGCAGCGGCAACGACAACAACCAGGCGGCGACAAAGAGTCCCCGGAAGGCGGCGGCGGCCGCTGCCCGTCTTAATCGGCTGAAGAAGAAGGAGTACGTGATGGGGCTGGAGAGTCGAGTCCGGGGTCTGGCAGCCGAGAACCAGGAGCTGCGGGCCGAGAATCGGGAGCTGGGCAAACGCGTGCAAGCACTGCAAGAGGAGAGTCGCTACCTACGGGCAGTCTTAGCCAACGAGACTGGACTGGCTCGCTTGCTGAGCCGGCTGAGCGGCGTGGGACTGCGGCTGACCACCTCGCTCTTCAGAGACTCGCCCGCCGGTGACCACGACTACGCGCTGCCGGTAGGAAAGCAGCAGCAGGACCTGCTAGAAGAGGACGACTCAGCGGGAGGAGTGTGTCTTCATGTGGACAAGGATAAGGTGTCGGTGGAGTTCTGCTCAGCGTGCGCCCGGAAGGCGTCGTCTTCTCTTAAAATGTAGGGTCAAGTAATCTGCTCTTTATCCGCGTTTACCCCTTTCAACTCCCTTACACCATGTAAAACACTTTAGTGGGACATCTTCACTGGACACATTTCAGAGGAGGAAAAAAGTAATATTGAATCTTTAAGTGTTTTAGCTAAAAGCATGAATGTGACACAGTAACCAACTCCTAATGATAACATGTGACTATTAAATCTCTCTGACAGTTTCTTTTTTAGGTGATTTCCTTCCTGCCAGGCTCCGTTGTAGGGGTTACAGAACAGTCGTTCCCGCCTCACAACCTGGTAAGGATCCATCTCTTCACGTAACGCTCATGCTCTGCTGCTTAGTCTACTTTAATGGGCAACATCTCAATTTGTGTGTGTGTGATTTTTTTTTTTGGAAGGTGGGAGGGGAATCTAATTTGGGCCCTGTCCACCCTGGAAACAGACTTGTGCTGGTCATAATGTTTTTAAGATGTTTCTTCCGGTTGAAATAGCTGTTAATGTGTCCCCTTATTCAGACTTATGTGTACCTAGCTCTTCTGTCCCCAGTGTGGACATGGCCTTGGATGACATCGGTTCCAACTGTACACTGAAACCTGCTTATAGAGATACAGTTTGGAGACAGTGAAACAGGTGAAGTTGAATGGAAGTTCCGAGTTGTACAAGGTGCAAATTGGAATTCCAGTTTTAGAGCAACTTTTCAGAGGTTGACATTAAGTATTTGGGGCATGCACAACTGTGATAGTATTTTGCTGGTGATGATAGGTATCTTAAATATTCAAGAATACCTTTTAGTTTTCAGTATAAGATGCAGAAATACAATCTATCCAGAATAACAAATTTTAATGTCTTACCATTAGAGAAGTTGGAAATTAACATACATACCAGACTCCTGTGTTTTAGTTAAGTGGAGGAAGAATAAGAAAATGGTTAATGAAATGTTTCTTTGAGGATCAGCACAGTGATTACCCCATCACTGAGTATGAATAAATTGTTGAACATCTTTATTTTTGTTGTATTAAAATTTTAGGTTAAATTTATGTATGTATGATTAGATACTGAAGGTTGTTAAATGTGAATGAAAACGTGTAAAGTGAGGTTTCACAAAGAATCTTACTCTGTATTTCAAAAGTATTTGTCCTATTTAAAAAATAATTTTTCAAATTGAGTGGTTCTGGCCACTTGAATGACATTGATTGACACTATTTTTCCAAAGATGGGATGCATTCTTCCCTTGAAGTACTCTATTATCTGTTGTCCAGTTATATAAATTAACGGTGTCCTTCAGGGTAAGAGGCATTAAATTCTTTGTGAAACATCACTGTTTGATAAAGTATATACGTATTTAGCATCCTTGTTTTTCTTTGTGCTAAAGTGGATACAGCTGTTGGGGCAGAAGAGACGGGACCAGCTGCTGGCCACATTTCCTGCTTTATTTTAAAAGGTAGTATAAGAAATGAGGAAAAAGAGGTAATATCAGGGCTTCTGCTGTCTTTTATTTTTAAAATGTTCATAATTAAAAAGTTTTCCAGCAGTCCAAAGATGTAAGTTATCTTACACAGAAAATGTTTTATTTTGTTGTTATTTGGTATGAAAATGGAATCCTTGTTCTTGCACAACTGTAAACGTTTTGTTGATAGATAATATGATTTGAGACCTAAATTGGTCTCTGGTTTCCAGTGCATCACAGCATATTTTGTAAAATCATCTACTGCACTTAAGCATGAATGGGTGGTAGCCAAACTCTCAACCTGGAGTGATGAACCTGCTTATACCTAAGGGCAGGAGCAAGCCCCTCACAATGCAGCTGCATGGATTTTTAGTGCCTACTGAATTATATATATATATATATATTTAAAAAAAACCAAAAGTAGTTGGAAAGATTATTTGAAATGACTAATTTGTGCTATCTTTATGAAATATGTTAAATGTAGCTTTTTGAAACAGAAGCCTTGAATTGAAATTTAACTAATACTTGAACATTTTGTATATATTTCTTTGTATATAATTTTGTGCAGTACCAATGACAAAAATATGGTGTCATACGTAATAAAACCAGGTTTGTTGATCTTTCAGTTATGGGCTCAAAGAATTTATTCATCTCTAACATGAAATTGAAAAATAATGGATGAAAATAGGAAAAATGATTGTTGTTAATAATGACTGTGGGTCTTAATCAAAAGGTTCTGGAAGCAGTAAGTTTGTTTTTCTAAAAATTATACCATTCTCTTGGAGTATTTTCTTCCTTATGTCAGTGCTTTTCCTGCATTATTGGAAGTTTGGGACTGGGGAGAAAGTAGTCAAAGCTTTCTGAATTCGGATGCTTTGAAATTCCAAGTGTAGATTTTTAGAATGTCATTTTATAAATGGCAGTTTTTGGAATTACTTGATTAAGAAATTTTGAAAATGGAAAGATTAGTATGGCCTATTTTTAAAGCTGCTTTGTTAGGTTCCTTATGTTTTGATTGTCTTCTTAGTTTCCATTTCATTATTTTTTTTCTAGTTTTGGTGACTTAGTGATTTTGTCATTTTTTTTACATCAACTTCATGGTCTTGTTTTTACATGGTAATTGCATGTATTTAGGACCTCTCTAACAGGGGCTTTAAATAAATTTGGTCATATTTATGTGTAAGCACATTTTACTGTAAATGTTTGGGTTTCTGAATTTAAACAGATCTGTTTATTTCAGTATGTAGTAAATATCTTACAGTGTCCTATTCACTACTTGTTAATTAAAAAAGCTATGATTAATATGAAACTGTTGTCTTACTATTTTTAGAAAATTGTGTTCTGAATGATTAGTATTTGGATAAAGGAGATTTCTGGAATAATATAAAATGGATTGTTTTGAAATTTTCAGGTTTGGCTTTACTTACTCTAATCATTGAAAACAATTTAGTATTGGGGAACTCTTGGTTAATTTTTGTGCCTCTATGGTAAAATGATACAGAACCAGACAAAAGATGTAGCTTTTTAATATTTGTTTTCTGATGGTGGCAGGAATTCATACATTAATTGAACTGACACATCATATTGACCTATTTCTATCAGATTGACTTACTGTTTCTGCACTTCTTTGACCAGACTTATCTAAAAAAGTCCACGTTTGTTAAAATGTCACACTTCAGATATAATCCAACAAAAAGTATTCGAAGTATTTTAAATATTTGTGCATTTTATAATCACTGAATTAATCTCTCTCTCTTCTCTTTAAACAGCTTAGCAGTGTCTGCAAAAACGAATCTTTTCCTACAACCTGTTAACTGAATGGACTGATGGTAACAAAGTAATTGTGGGAGCCATGTCGGTCAAAAATTTGGCATCTGCTGAAAAAAATGAATGCCATTTTCAAGTTCCCAAATTACTTCTATACTGATTTCACTTTCCAGAAATGGAGATATGAAAAGATTCTCTGGAATCCTTGAAAGACTTAATAGAAATACATGAGACTAACTTAATCTTGGAACAAAATTATACGTTTTTTTTTTTTGTCTTTCATGGGAGTGATACTCAGTTCTTTGCATACCTTTTAAAAATTGTAACCATTGGAGAAGAGATTTATAATATTTCATCAAGAAATATTAGTTTTTACATAATCAAGAGCACACTCTATGGAATTACATTTAGTGTACTAGAATTACATAAACAGGCCATCAGTAATCACGAGGCATGTCATGAGTTTGTGTTTATTTCCTGGAACATGAGAGCTAATTTGGAATACAGACACCTTGTCGAGTAGAATATAAAAGTTAATGTAAAGTCCTTAATTATAAAGAGTAGTCTTTTTAAATAGATGCTTGATTTGTCTGTATATCTTTGAAAAAGTGATTATGATTAAATGTGTGGGTAGTTAATTGCAATTTAGGGTAACATCAGGATGTGTGGATTCTGAGGTCTTGGCTTCTTGAGCTTTCTCTGAGTACTTGACACTGTTTTTAATAACGAGGTTTCTAATGAATGGTATATTAGTTTCTACTGTTTTATATTAAAATTTCTGTAGTGTTATATATATATATAAGGGCTTTAGTATTCTGGATGATGAGAATGGCTTTTTTTTGTGGCAAATGGTTGTTTTACTTAATTGAAATATTTTTCCAGTTTATTACAAGTGTTAAAAATACTCAAAACTCTGGATTGTTTTATTTCATTTCATTGGACATTCCTTCACCTGGGGTAGACTGAGTTATTTTATCTTATTTACTCATTTGGGAGGTGTGCAGATGATAGAAGAGGGGAGGAGGGGGGTAGGAGGTAGGTTCAAGTGGCTGGCTGATGCTGCAAAAGTACAGCTGGTTACAATTTTATAACAGTACAACTGGTTGTCATTCCATAATCAAAGGCACCAACATTATTTACCATAATATGACCATAATTACTACTTTGATAGAATAGAGTGGGTAATTCACTGATGATGAATTGCCCTTTTAATATGTGATTACCTAGTTTAGCATTTTGAAAGTATAGTTTCAGGTCTTGATAGTTTAGTCAAATTTGTAAGCTAAATAATCTGATGACTCGTGAAAGTTAAATATGTAGTAAGATAAATTTACAAATTTTTTCCCCCTAGATTCACTATTGATATAAAGTTTTGAGACCTTTCTAAATGTTTATATTTTTACTGTTTTTCTGAGCTGTGTTTTCATTTAGTTGCCATATAAGCCAGGAATCAAAAAGGTGAGGTCTCCCATTAGAAATGCAGTGTTTTGTTTGGCAAGCACAGTATTTTTCATATATTTGAATTTGAATACTTCTGTGTATAGCTTCAGTACTTTAAAGCTAGTCATTCCCTGTTGTCTTACAATACCCTATAATTTTTGTTGACTAAAACTTCTTAAAAATATTTTGCTCAATTTTCACAATGAACTTTTGAAATGTAGTCACTAATTGTGTTTTCAACATTTGTGTAGTTAATACACTGATTTGAATTTTATTGGTAGCCCATCTTCCTTTATAATGTGCCTCCAAATTCTGTATCTTTCCTGTACACCTGCAGAAGTTAGCTTCCTGTACCTCTCTGGCTTTGTACTGTAGTTTGGAGTTTACAAAATATATTAATGTCTTAATATAATGTGAACCCTCTATGTTTTTTAAAGCCAAATAACTATACCAAGTGAATTGTGACAGATTTAAATAGTTTATCTACCATGACTGTACTGAAATATCAGGAACTATTTTCCTGACTAATTGAGAGCAGTGTTCTTTAGGTCTTAGCTACAAATGACTAAGTGTCCTTAAATTGTAATGCAGATCGCTTCAGGTTTACATGTCATGTCATGACCAAGTATTTTGGTAATGTAAATTTGTAGCAACAGACTTAACATGTTTGTTGCTTAAGTTGCCTATTTCTACTAATTGGAAAGATGATTTGAGAAATATGTAGCGGAGGACAGATATTAGAAATTCTTTTTACAGGATACAGAAATATTTATAAATGATACTATGCTAGAGAGTAAATACCTTGGGGATGTTTGAGGACAGGTAAGAAAACATTTTAAATTATCAAACATTTTAAGTTATATTAGTGGGTTTTGAATTATGTAAGTTGATTATACTATTCTGTATATTCTTAGGGAGCCTAACTCAGTAATTTGGCTTACTTATTTTTGAAGTCAGAATTACTTTTAATTCGTTTTTCACCATGATAAGTAGAACTCTGCTTTAAGTAAAAGTGACAGAATGCAGATAAAATGGATAATTTCGGGTCTGAGAGCTTTTCATCTTGGTATTTTAGCTTATAAAAATAAACAAGTAATCTTTTTTGCCCTTTAAATGTTACATGTTTATATATATTTTTTCTTTATTTCTTGTAAAAGTAAAGCATTTTCATTACATAAGACTTGGAAAAATCACCCATAACTATAATCCAGAGAATATACACAGTAAATATTTTGGCATGTTTCCTTTTAGTTTATTCTGTGCCTCATAAATAGATTATTTTGCCTCATAATTGGAATAATTTCTTATGTAAGCTTGGTAGAGAGTACATTTTATCTGTCAAAAGAACAAATCTGCTTTCTGAAACACTGAAAATGTATTAATTTCACTGGAGTTTTAAATCTTTGGCAGCACTGCTTTATATATTACGTTCCTTTAAACAGAAGCTGAAAGCCTATTTCACTGGGAAAGCTGCCTTTTGTACATTCTTTTTATATAATTTTAAATAGCATAAGATTACTTAAGAATAGTTAAGATGCTCATGAATATGATCTAGGGTGGGCACTTAAAATTTTGATTGGTACTTTTCTGTGATGATTGGTTTCCTAAAGTGTTGGTTTAGGCTTGTGTTGTCCAATAAGCATTAGCCACACTTGTGGCTAAAATTTTTAAATTGATTAAAACTTAAAATTCTCTTATTCAGTTGTAGCTACAGTTCAGATGCTCAACAGCCACATGACTAGTGGCTAACATTGACACTGCAGGTATAAAATATTTCCATAATCACAGAAATTCTATTGGACACTGCTGTTTTGGATGCTGTCACAAAAGAAAACAGTTTAGAGAACTAGGATAGAAATTTTAGGAAGGAGATCACAATAAATCACTTCAAAAATTTAAATGATCTTTCCTATAGATCATATGGGGCAGTAAAAACATAATTAAGTGAACTATCTTAGGAAATGAATTAAACTAGGATATTTCACTGAGGGTCAGAGAGGTTAATTTGTTCAGCACCACACAGCTAAAAAAGCAGCTCAAGTCTGTGATTGTGAAGAATAACCCCTTAATAGATGGAAGCTTCAAAGATAGACACTGCCTAGATCTCAAAGCTACAGCTGTCCAAGATATAAATAAGGTGATTTTTGAAGTAGGTAGCACTCTATCATAATAGTTCAAGCTGATCCTGTCAGTAAGATTGGGAGTGATCCCTTTGTGAAGAAGGTTGTTAATTCTAAGATTCTATGAATTAATAATACCTATGGAAACACTTTGAATTGAGAAAATGAAGTAAAAGATACATTTGCTATAGTGTATACATTCTTTTCATTTTCATTCCTCTATGGCTTTATGAAATCTTCAGTGACAAGTGGCTGTATAGTTATTTATTTTTTCAGCTTGTGTTACAGTCCAAACTCAATGCTTAATGTAAAGAAATTGAATGAGCAAGGTGGAAGAGATAATATTTGGCAAACTAGTGAAGTTATGTTCTCAAGTGGGTAGCCTTTATGGGGATTCAGCCTTTGTTGCCCAATTGTACCTCATGTGATAAATTACAAGTCTATATTTATTCATAACATTAGACATAGGTTATTTTTACCATTTTATTTTTTTGGAAGTACATAGTTGCTTAAAATCAGTGCATTTTTAGGTCAGGTTCAGGTAATTGAAGGGCCTTTATAATGAGTTTATATTGTCTGGATCCAAGGTATGCTGAAAACACAGTCTGGAGCAAAATGGGAAATAACATCTTTCTAAAGACAGGCTTAGAAATTCTAATCCAGTAAGTTAAGATGTTTCCTTTCTCTGGTAGCAGAGCTGATTGATACCTGTAAGAAAATGTTGAGATACTTCACTAGAAAAGACTTGTATCGAGTAACAAACCTATGTATAATATATGTATTAACCCTAGAAGTCTTAAAACTAAAGACTGAGGTCATGCTATACTCTTTAGCATCCATTAGGCCTAACTCTCCTTGTGTTTTCTTTTACCCTTTCTCCAGCTCACCTCTGGAGGCTCATATAGCATAAATTGCTGATGCAAGAGTTCGACAGAGAATAACCATTTCTGGCATTTTCCTTTAGTGCAAGTGCTTAAACTTACCTATGAAAACTATTCATATAAGAAAACTTTCATGCTAGGTATAGTACTGTTTGTAGTGAGCATTCATACACAAATTAAGGTTAGGATCGTGACTACACAGTGTGAGAAAGTTCTAGAACTATTTCAAATTCTTGAGAAGTAAAATTTGATAACTTACAAGAAAAAACATGTCTTATTAACAACTTCTAATCAAGAAGGTAACATTGCCTTTGGTTTAAATGCCTTAAAAACAGAAAACATATTTGCTATTTAAAGTTGTGAGTTTTCTAGGTAATCACATTATAAAAGTTTTTCATTGATTATCAGAAAACAATCCTACCTGGCTGCTAGGCCACCATTTACAGGGATAGCCATGAAAACAGGATACAGACCACCCAAAACAAGACCAATCAGTCCACTCCGAGTTACTACACAGGTTTCACAGTTCAAATCACCTAGGAAATAAATTCATTCTGGAATTGAAGGTCATAATAGTCAAGCAAACAAATGATTAAAGAATGCAAAATGCTCTGTATCACAGGTATTTTTAAGGTAGTAACACAGCAAATGGAATTCTACAAGGCGTGTTAAAAGGTACAATTCTATGTATGGGTAACTTAAAATAGCCAGGAATAACTGATAAAACCATCTTAGGAAAAAATTTCTCTTGTTTTGAACTTGCATATAATAATCTAAGGGTTTGGGCTATTGTTAGCTTTCTGCACTTGTTTTGTGTTAATAGACCTTGCCTAATGTTTTCACTCAGTCTATTGGCAGTAGGTTTCCCTTGATCATAAAAATTCTTTCCATACTAGTCATGGGAGTTCAAACAAAGTATCAGTTTAAACAAATTTGGAGCAGCACTTAACATAAAATTTAGATGGACTAACTTTCCTCGCCCCATGATAATATTTTCATTTGAAATCATTAATCAAAAGATTTTTTGTGATTAGCTATACTCAAAGCACTCAGCACACATGGTAAATTTTCAAAAGGAAATCAAATCTCCATTTATTTAATAAATCTTGTATATGTATTTAGTGTGTTGAGAAATTTACTACATAAAGAGCCTTATTCACATAAAAATATTTTTCCCTTTAAGGAACTCCTCTATGATATATAAATTTAAAAATTCTAAGGTAGCCAGTATTTAAAAAAAAGTTTCCAAATATTTCTTACTCTAAATGATCACAATGGGGAAGGTAAGTTAGACAACGCAAAAGTATTTAGAACTAATTTGTATATCCATCTTACCTGGTAGACCATGCTAACATGAATTAGTTGCCCCACTACATAGAGAGGTTAGCAAGATTCAATCTTATCCAGACACTCAGCTACATTACAGTATATAGCTACTTGAAATTAATGCTTAAG